AGTAGCATGATCTTCGCTCACCACAGCCTCCACCTCCTGGGTTCAAGCGGTTCTTTTCCCTCAGCCTCCTGAGTAACTGGGATTACAGGCATGTGCCAACATGCCCAGCTAATTTTGTATTTTTTTGTTTGTTTCAGTAGAGACAGAGGTTTCACCATGTTGGCCAGGCTGATCTCGAACTCCTGACCTCAAGTGATCCACCTGCCTCAGCCTCCCAAGGTGCTGGGATTACAGGCGTGAGCCACCACACCCAGCCCTATCTACTCTCTTGCTCTTTAGAGGAAACTACATTTTTTTAAGTGGGAAAATATTTTTCCTAGTATTTAAAAATATTTTATTATGTAAAAGCTCAAACATATATAAAACAGGTAAGATAGTACAATGATTCCCTCCGTTTACCCATCACTCAGCTATAGTAATCATCAACTCATGGCCACTCTTGTTTCTTCTGTATCTTCTTGAATAGCAAACCTCTGGTCCTACTGGATTATTATTATTATTATTTTTTTATTTTTTTGAGGTGGAGTCTCGCTCTGTCGCCTAGACTGGAGTGCAGTGGCACGATCTCGGCTCACTGCAACCCCTGGCTCCTGGGTTCAAGCGATTCTCCTGCCTCAGCCTCTCGAGTAGCTGGGATTACAGGCATGTGCCACCACACCTGGCTGATTTTTGTATTTCCAGTAGAGACGGGGTTTCACCATGTTGGCCAGGCTGGACACAAACTCCTGATCTCAGGTGATCCGCCCACCTTGGCTTCCCAAAATGATGGGATTACAGGCGTGAGCCACTGCACGTGGCCAACTTGCTGGATTATTTTGAAGCAAATCCAAAATGTATAATTTTGCCCATATTTCAAAAAGACAATGTAATTCTTTTCAGCTTGTAAATGCTTTATTTTTTAAAAAATAGAGGATGCTTGGTGGTGTATATGTGGCCATTTGATATTTTTATGACTAAGAGAGTCCAGTCTCTTATAGAGTGTAAATGTACCTCTACACATGCACATTTATTTATTTATTTATATTCTATTTTTCCATAAATTATTGGGGTACAGGTGGTATTTGGTTACATAAGCTCTTTAGTGATGATTTTTGAGATTTTGGTGCACCCATCACCTGAGCAGTATACGCAGCACTATATTTATAGTCTTTTATCTCTTGCCCCACACCCACTCTTCCCTCCAAATCTCCGAAGTCCATTGTATCATTCTTATGTCATTGTGTCCTCATAGCTTAGCTCCCACATATCAGTGAGAACATACAATGTTTGGTTTTCCATTCCTCAGTTATTTCACTTAGAATAATAGTCCCCAGTCTCATCCAGGTCACTGCAAATACTGTTAATTCATTCCTTTATATGGCTGCATAGTATTCCACTGTATATATATACCATTTGGGTTGGTTTTATGATTTTGGAATACAAATGCACATGTGATTTTTATCAAAATTAAGCTTAGTCACTAAAAGAAGATTCGCTGTGTGAACTTTGTTCTGCAGTTTTTTCACTTTTGCCATCAGGCAGTGGAGCACCTGACCTCTCAAGAAGATCTGGATCTAGTCCTTCTGATATCATTTTGTTTCTTATTGCCATCACTGGTATACCCATTTGAACCATTTTGAGATATAAGACATATCTTGAATCTTTGTCTACAGTTAAGATATTTTCTACTGATACTTGATTTTCCTGTGGTCCAGAGTCTTGTATACTGTCCTGCTGTGATTACTCTGAAGTGACTTCAGAATGTGATCCATTTGTGACACTAGTGGGACTTAAAGGAGATACTTCAAATGTAACATCATCTAGGCCTGGTATAGATGACAATGTTGCATCTAAAATATTGAGAGTTGTTTCAATTTGCTGGATACAAAGATAAAGGTTTACCAGTTTCTCCTCACTAAATGTAGAAGAGTGGTTGAGGAACTATACAGCGTGCACAACAGTTTGCTTTAGTAAAGCCACCATTCTTTTCTGGTGAATAGCCAGCACCTTGATCAAGTCTATGCCTGACTCCCGGAAGCCCATCTTTATATGTCTCCTCAGCAGTCAGGGGTCCTGGACTCACTCAAACCCCTCCCAGATGGGGCCTGCCCAACCTTGTAATCATGTCCCAGTGCTTCCCCACATCCCCCAAGACAATGTGTTTTTATATTCAGCAAACATAGTTCCCTTTATCACACCTGATAAAACCTAATAAAGATTTCCCCAAATCAAATATCTAGTTATTTCACCCCCTCTCCAATTGGTTTACTAAAATACCAAAGATAATCCATACTTTGTATTTTGTTAATATGTCTGTTTTAATTAAACTACAAGTTTTCTTCTCTCTTTTTAAAAAACTATGTTGAACAGATTTATTTGTTGAGGAAATGAGGTTGTCCTATAGACTTTTCTAAATTCTGGATTCTGATTCCTCCTCATGGTGTCACTTAATAGTCCATTGTTCCCTCTAACCCTTGTTTTCTGTAAACTGATATTTAGATCTAGAAGCTTGTTCTGATTCAGGTTTGATTTTTGTCAGAATAATTTATAGGCAATATGTTTCTGAATCCTTGGATTCAACCTACCATGGATTGAAAGCATTACCAAAAAATCTGATAAAGATAACAGTAACAATACAATGAAAAAATACAATAGCTAATTCTTTTTTCTTTATTTATTTTTTCTGAGACAGACTCTCACTCTGTTGCCCAAGCTGGAGTGCAGTGGCATGATCTCAGTTCACTGCAACCTCCACCTTCCAGGCTCAAGCGATTCTTGTGCCTCAGTCTCCCGAGTAGCTGGAACTACAGGCATGCACCACCATGCCCAGCTATTTTTTTGTATTTTTAGTAGAGACCGGGTTTTGCCATGTTGCGCAGGCTGGTCTCGAACTCCTGAGCTCAGGCTATCTGCCTGCCTCGGCTTCCCAAACTGCTAGGGTTATAGGCGTGAGCCACCACACCTGGCCAATAACTAATTCTTGATTTATCAGCTTTATTTATGATCTATTTATTTGCTATTATGATGGATGAGGATTTATCTCATATCATGTTACCTCTCCCATCTCTCTCAGTTTTTGTTATACTATTTTAAATTTATCTGTTGGCTGTCTTTCAAATCTTTAAATTATATATATTTATATATACACACATATATAATTTTTTGTATATATGCATATATTTAAAAAGTATACTTTTTTTTTTTGAGATAGGGTCTCACTCTGTCGCCCAGGCTGGAGTATAATGGCATGATCTCGGCTCATTGCAACCTTGGCACCCCAGGCTCAAACGGTCCTCCCACCTCAGCTTCCCAAGTAGTGGCGACCACAGGTGCACACCAGCATACCCAGCCAATTTTTTGTATTTTTGGTAGGGGTGGGGGTCTCACCATGTTGCCCAGGCTGGTCTTAAACTCCTTAGCTTAAGCAATCCGCCCACCTCGGCCTCCCAAAGTGCTGGGATTACAAGCATGAGCCTCAACACCCGGCCTAAAATAATATATACATTTTTTTTTTTTTTGAGACAGGATCTTGTTTGTCACCCAGGATGGAGTGCAGTGGCATGATCATGGCTCACTGCAGCCTCCACCTCCCAGGCTCAAGTCAGCTTCCTGCTTCAGCCTCCACAGTAGCTGGAACCACAGGTGTGCACTAGCATGCCCAAGTAATTTTAAAATTTTTTTGTAGAGACAGGGTCTTGCTATGTTGCTCAGGCAGTCTAGAATTCCTGGCCTCAAGTCATCCTTTTACCTCAGCCTCTAAAAGTACTAGGATAATAGGTGTGAGCCACCCCACCATGCTCAGCCCTAAGTAATGTATTTAAACTTTATTTCTTTTTTAAAAATCAAATTTGGAGTTTATCTCTTCACTTGCTACTTTGTGAGGATATTTCCATTCTCTCTACCTCTCTTTCCCTTTAACTTTCCACCTTCTGTCACCTCTCACATTTGCATTTTGGGCTTTGTTGATCCCAAATAATGAAAACTGAAAAGGCTTATTATTGATTGTCACTATTATTTAACTCTGTGGATTATAATTTTATTCTCTGTATGTTTCCATTTGCTAGCTCTCACAATTCTATTTTCTCAGATACTCTGTTTGTTGAGTATGATGTCCTTTCGTGGCATTGGTTTCTCTCAATTGTTGGGTAATTCTTGTTCATATTTGATTTGAAATTCTGCGATAATCTTCTATGAATATTGTGTCACACTTTGTACTATAACCTGAATCCAGTGACTGATGAAGAGGTAGGACTGGATGTTTTTCATTATGTGTTGTCAGCTACATAGAACTCGGTTTCTGTCCAGCCAAAGTAATTGTACTCACTGTTCCTTTCTGGAAAGGAGTGAGGAAGATACCTTTCTTGGGGAGGCTGACTGCCTGATGTTCCTACTGTTCACATCCAGGGTCGTTTCCACATTTTGCATTTTTGTGCATGTTGGGATATGGGTTTCTGTCTTATCCCATTTGCTGTCTGTTTTTCAGAGGTTCTCCACAATTTCGTGTCTGTTGAAAATGCCCCTTATTTTCCAGGACTCATTGAAAAAGAAAAAATATGTACCATACACATTATTCATATTTCTATGTATTATCATTTCTAAGGATTTATGGCAGAAGAGGGGGCTGTAGCATGTATTCAGTCTTCCATCTTCATTTAGTCCTTGTCTGCTTCCATAGCTTTTGTGGATATTTGCATATTGACTATTTATTTAGATATCTTCCGGTTACAATACCGTGAGCTCCTTCGGTGAGACTGGAATGTAAAGGTACTTAATAAACATTTGTTGGATTAATCCAAATTTTATTGCAGATGGAATTAAAAACTAGAACTCAGGTAGTCTAATGCTTACCATATACCTTTCTTCAAGTGCAGCATTAATTCTCAGAACTTTCTCTATCTAAGTTATCTCAGTGTTTTCTTTTAATGTTTCCTCAGAAGATGTGTCTTTTTTGTTTGTTTGTTTGTTTTGAGAAGGAGTCTCACTCTGTGGTCCAGGCTGGAGTGCAGTGGCATCATCTCAGCTCACTGCAACCTCTGCCTCCCGAGTTCAAGCAATTCTCCTGCCTCAGCCTCCCGAGTAGCTGGGATTATAGGTGCCCACCAGCATGCCTGGCTAGTTTTGGTAATTTTAGTAGAGATGCGGTTTCATCATGTTGGACAGGCTGGCCTCAAACTGCTTACCTCAAGTGATCCGCCTGCCTTGGCCTCCCAAAGTGCTGGGGTTACAGGTATGAGCCACTGCGCCCAGCAAGACATGTTTTTAAGTCTATTAATTTTTGCTACTTTTTTTCTTTAAAACCATTTCTTTTAAATTATGGAGTTCAAAGTAGAACACAGAGCTCTAACAAATGCTAACTGTTGCTTTTTGTTTTCTGTGAGTTATATGACTGAATATGGACAGAGGATTCAATATTTTCTCCAGTATTGCCCCAACCAATTTGGGGGAGGTATTAATTTTTAAAAATTATTTTCTCATTTTTCTCTTCTAGATGAATATGAAAATAGGAAAAGGGTGGTTGGATGTTGGAAATTTTTTAATTGCTGATGAATGTTTTCAAGCTGCTGAGGTGGTAAGTTACCATTGATTTTTAGCTGAGGCAATTATTAGTAGTAATATCTGTGGTTATTCTCATTGTTACATTGTACTGTGGTTTTACTTTCCAGAGTCTGGAGCAATTATACACGAAATTAATTCAGAGGAGCTCCCCTGAGACTGACTTGACCTTGGAGAAGATGGCTGTTGAGAAAGACCACTTCAGAGTGCTTTCTTACCAAGCAGAGTCAGTAGGTATCATGGGCACCAGGGCCTTCCAGTGGGGCATTTTCCTTGTGTAAATGTAAAAATGATGATATATAGCCTATTGGAAGAAAGTCAGATGTCACTGCCTTTTATAGGCATTAATTTGACCTTTTTATCTCTGTCATATCTGAAGGTGATGTTAGTAATGCTGATTGAAATCTGTGGGGTGGCTAAGGGTGAGAAGACTAATATACAGCTAAACATCATTTTCAACCCCTGCATGTAACATCTGTCATTTATTTATGGCAGCAATCCCTACTTAAAACACCTGTCTCTGTGACTCTCTCTTACATTCACAGTCTGCCTAAAATATTTGCCTGAAAAGAGCCTTTTCATTTGCCGTTGTTCTGAGTTGTCTATTGATGCTTTCTAAAAGCCTACTGCGATCACACACCATTTAAAGTTATACTTTACCTCTGTTTATCTTGTGGGTTTCCTCCTTTTGTCATTATACACTTAGGTGTGCATTTGAGCTATGATGAGTTTGCTTTCTGTTATTACACAATTTTGGAAATGAAAAATCCCCAGCTGGGCATGGTGGCTCATGCCTGTAATCCCAGCACTTTAGGAGGCTGAAGTGGAAAGATTGCTTGAGCCCAGGAATTGGAAACCAACCTGGACAGCATAGTGAGACCCCATCTCTACCAAAAAAATAAAAGCAAAAAATTAACTAGGCTTCAAGGTGTGCACCTGTAGTCCTGGCTATTAGGGAGACTGAGGCGGAAGGATCCCTTTGAGCCTGGGAGTCTGAGGTTACAGTGAGCTATGATTATGCCTCTGCACTCCAGCCTGGGTGACAGAACTAGACTCTGTCTCAAAAAAACAAACAAAACAACAACAAAAAAGAAAAGTCCTTTTTTAAATTTTTAACGTATTTATTGAGATATAAGTCGTATACCATAAAATTCACCCATTTACACTGTATAATTCAGTAATTTAGTATATTCACAGAATTGTGCAATGTACACCACAAGCTATGTTTAAAACATAATTGTCACCCCAAAAAGAAACCCCCATCAACATTAGCACTCATTCCTCATTGCTTCTGACCCTAGCTCTAGCAACCATAATTTATTTTCTGTCTCTATAAATATACCTATTTTGGACATTTCATATTAATAGAATCATGCAATAAGTGGTCTTTTGTGATTAGCTTCTTTCACTTAGCATAATTGCTTTAAAGATTCATCAGTGTTATTGCATGTTTCACTGTATGAATATGCCGTGTTTTGTTTATCTATTCATCTATTGATGAATATTTGAGTTGTTTCCAATTTTTGGGTATTGTGAATAATTCTAATGTGAACATTCATGTACAGTGTGTGTACATATGTTTTTAATTTTCTTTGGTATATAGCTAGGAGTGGAATTGCTGCGTAGCATGGTAACTGTAACTCTGTGTTTAACCTTTTGGGAAACTGCCAGAATGTTTTCCATAGTGACTGAACTATTTTACACTCCCTCCAGTAATATATGAGGGCTTCAACTTCTCTACATCTGAAAGTTTTATAGTTTTAGCACTTACACTTTGATCTATGGTCCATTTTAAGTAAATTTTCAGATATGATGGGAAGTAGGGGTCTAACTTCATTCTTTTGTATGTGACTATCCAATTGTGCCAGTACCATTTGTTGAGAAAACTATTCTTTCCTCATACTGAATGACCTTTACACCTTTGTCAAAAATCAATTTATCATAAATGTGAGGGTTTATTTCTGGAGTCTTAATTCTATTCCATTAATCTATATGTCTAGCCTTATGCTGGCACCACACTGTCTTGATTACTGTAGCTATGTAGTAAGTTTTGAAATTGGGAATTGCATGTCTTCCAGTTTTGTTCTGTTTAAAGATTGTTTGGATGTTTCTGGGCTTCTTACATTTCCATATGAGTGTTAGGATCAGGTTGTCAATTTGTGCACAGAAGCCAGCTGGAATTTTGATAGGGATAGCATTGAATTCGTATACAATTTGAGGGATATTGTTATCTTAAGGATACTGTGTTCTAATCCATGAACATGGGATGTCTTTTCATTTATTTAGGTTTTGTTTAATTTTCTCTTATTTATTTATCTTTTTTTTTTTTTTTTTGTAGAGATGAGGTTTTGCTTTGTTGCCCAGGCTGGTATCAAACTCCTGGCCTCAAGCATTCCTCTCGCCTTGGCCTCTCAAAGTTCTGGGATTATAGGTGTGAGCCACCATGCCTGGCCAGACCTATGTGTGGTATTTTTGTTGTTGTTGTTTTAGAGATGGAATCTTGTTCTCTTGCCCAGGCTGGAATAATGTGGCCCAATCATAGTTCACTGCAGCCTTAACCTCCTGGGCTCAAGGGATCCTCCTTCCTCAGCCTCCTGAGTAGGTAGGACCATGGGTGCCATACCTCTGTGCCTGGCTAATTAAAAAACTTTTTTTTTGGTAGAGATAGGGTTTTTACTATGTTGTCTAGTCTGACCTTAAACTCCTGAGCTCAAGTGGTCCTCCCACCTTGGCTTCCCAAAGTGCTGCAATTACAGGCATGAGCCTCTGCGACTGAGCAGACCTATGTATTTTAATTGTCCACAAGCTCAAATTTAAATCAGTGATGTGATGTAGCTGCAAAAAAAGCCAGCACGATCCTTAGGCATGTTAATAGATAAATAGTGTCTACATCTTAATTCACATTTTGAGTATTGTGATAACTGCTAGGTATCACACTTTAAAATCACTGGGCTAGTGTAGAAAATCTATCATATGAAAAATATTTGTAGAATATAGTGATGTCTGTCTTGGAAAAAGAAGACAGTAAAAATGATAGCTCTCTTTGAATATTTTAAGGACTATTATATTAAAGGGAAATTAAACTCCACAGGATAGAATGAAGAACAATGGGTAGAAATCACAGGAAGACAGATTTTGGCTTAATGTAAGGAGTAACCTTTTATCAGTCATAGTAATCTTGTAATGGAATAGCCTTCCTGCAAGAATTGTAAGTCTGTTTTCACTGGAAAACTGAAGCAAAGGTGTGAATATCCTAATAATTATACATTGCAGATGGAATTCCTTCATTTGGTAGGAAATTTGACTACTGTGACCCTTACGTCCCTTTTTTAACACCAAGATCCTATGATTTCAGAAAGTCTTGTAGCACTTCAGTGTTGCTGACTGCAACCTCCGCCTCCCAGGCTGAATTGATTCTCCTGCCTCAGCCTCCCAAGTGGCTGAGACTACAGGTGTGCACCACAATGCCTAGCTAATTTTTGTCTTTTTAGTAGAAATGGGGTTTTTTTAGTAGAAATGTTGGCCAGGCTGGTCTCGAACTGCTGACCTCATGTGACCTGCCCACTTCGGCCTCCCTAAGTGATGAGATTACAGGCGTGAGCCACTGCACTCAGCCGCCATTTACATTCTTACCAGCAATGTATGAGAGATCTCATTTCTTTGCATCCTTGCCAGCATTTGGTATTGTGACCAATTTTTTATTGTAGCTATCCTAATAGATGTATAGTAATATCTCATTGTGGTTTTAATTTGCATTTCTCTAATGGCTAATGATGTTTAATATCTTTTCATTTACTTATTTGCCATCTGTATCTCCCTTTAGGCAAAATGTCTGTCATTTTTCTTGTCCATTTTCTATTTGTATTGATAGTTTACTGGTGAATTTACAGAATTATTTGTATATTCTTGATGTGATTCCCTTGTCAGATAAATATTCAGGAACATTGTCACTTCGTAGCTTGTCTTTTTGTCCTTTTTAATAGGGTCACTGAATATAGTTTTGATAAAGTCCAATTTATTGATTTTTAAAATTTTATTTTATGGATCATGCTTTCAGTGTCATGTCTCAGAAAGTTGCACATAGCCTTAGGTCTCTTACATTTCTATTTGAATTTTAAGATCAGCATGTCAATTTCTGCAAAAAAAAAAAAAAAAGCCAACTGGAATTTTAATGGAATTGGATTAAATTTGTAGATCAACTTGGGGAGTAGGGACAGAGTCTCACTCTATTGCCCAGGCTGGAGTACACTGGTGGGATCTCAGCTCACTGCAGCCTCTGCTTCTCGTGTTCAAGCAATTCTCCTGCCTCAGCCTCCCAAGTAGCTGGGATTACAGGCACATGCCACCATGCCTAGCTACTTATTTATTTTTAGTAGAGACAGGGTTTTGCCATGTTGGCCAGGCTGGTCTCAAACTCCTGGCCTCAGGTGATCAGCCCACCTTGGCCTCCCAAAGTGCTGGGATTACAGGGGTGAGCCACTGTGCCCAGCCCTTATGGTAATTTTGACTGCCCAGATTGTACACATTTTTGAATACTGACTTACAGTTTATGAAATGCTTTTACATCTGTGATCTCATTTGATCCTCATAAGATCAATCCTATATTGTAAACATTACTATACCTATTTTATAGTTAAGAAAATAGAGCCTCAAAGAGATTGTGACTTGCCTAAGTTCACTGAGCCAAGAAGTGGAAAAGCTGGAAATGCAAAGCCCATATTCTTTTCACTACATCAGTATAGGCAGGGCATCACTCCAGACCTAATGAATCACAATCTCCAAGTGGTGAGAGCTGGGCATGTGATCAGAAAGCTCTGCTGGTGAGTCTGATGCTCACAGAAGGTTGCTACAGCACTGTATCATGCTTCCTCTTCTGTAAGACTTCTTTTACTTTAAATCTTTTAACTTTTGGGCTTGAAATATTGATTTCTAGTCATAGGAAGATGAATAAATTTTCAGAACTAGCCTGAATTATTAGAACTTTGATTTCTTTAAGATAAAATCTGAGTAATGATAGACACTTTATGGGTTGTTTGAACATTAAAGTCTCATATTGTTTTATATAAGAACAGACAGCAGCATTCATCCTCTGATATGAGGTTTGTCACTGAGCATTTCTCTTTTATAAGATTTTCTCCACTTTAAATAATCAATTAATCATCAAATATTCATAGAATATAGTGTAGACAGGAATGTTATTTTCTAATCTCTATGTAGTGATTTGGCTTATTGAGGCACTTGTGTTAGCAATTTATTTTGCCCTTTAATAATATCTAGTATTAAAGCCTTATAAGAGTATCTACTCAGCAAGATGTCAGGCTTACTATTCAGCAGGTAGAGGAGAAAACTAGCTGACATCTTACGTTGTTTATATTTTCTTCTCTCTACTCAATTCTTTTATTATTTAAAGCACAATAATATTTTATACCACATAAAGAAGAGAAGAAAATACCAAATGTAGTACTTTATAAGATTATTTTCTTGTATATATCCGTGGTTTTCTTTTCTTTTTTTTTTTAATGCGTTTTCTTTTTTTTTGATGACAGTCTCGCTCTGTCACCCAGGCTGGAGTGCAGTGGTGCAAACTCAGCTCACTGCAACCTCTGCCTCTGGAGTAGCTGGTATTATAGGTGCCCCCCATCATGCCCAGCTATTTTTTTTTTTTTTTTAGTAGAGACAGGGTTTCACCATGTTGGTGTCGAACTCCTTACCTCAGGTGATCCACCCACCTTGGCCTCCCAAAGTGCCCACTCATTCAGTATCAACTCTGTGTCACCAAAAATTCTTACCACTTATTCCTTTGTATTTTGAGCAAGGTATCATGTTTAGCTCGAACAACTAGCATTGCTAAGAATATTAGAATACAAAATAAGATTTTTAAACACTAGTTAAGATATGCTAAAAATATGAGCCACCGTGCCTGGTTAAACGAAGTTCTTAAATGGCTGAAACAAGCCTCTTCCACAAGTGCTAAAGTAATGTGTGATCGATGTTTTCATTCATTTGGGGGTGTTCAGTCATAGAATGGTAGAACTGAAAGGAACCCTACAGATAGTCTAGTACAGTCTCCTCACTTTATGGATGAGGAAACAATCTGTGAGAGCTTAAGGCTCAAAGTTATACATAATAAATGGCAGAGTGGCTCTTCTGGCTTCATGATGAGATTGTACTAAGCTGCTTTTCTTTTTACTTAATTTTTTTTTTAAAGAGATGGGATTTTGCTCTCATCTGTGGCAGGAGCAGACTGGTATCTTCTTAGCTTACTGCAGCTTCAAACTCCTGGACTTGAGCAATTATCCCGCCTTAGCCTCCAGAGTAGCTGGGACTATAGGTGTGTGCCACCATGTCTGGCTAATTGATAAACTGTTTTTCGCAGTGGATATATGTAACAGTTCAGACTGTGAGGTTACTGTGAGCTTGTTTTAAGACAAAGACTGCTGTTTAACTTAATTCCTCTAATATAGAGGTGAATACGAGAGGTTTTCAAATTACAGAAGCATCTAGTAGACCTGGCATTATGTCATAATATAATAACATAAGGTAGTACAACCAGTTTTTGCATTTCCAGAAAAAGTAAATGACTCCTGTTCATTTAGTATCAACTCTGTGTCACCAAAGATTCTTACCACTTATTCCTCTGTATTCTGAGCAAGCTATCATGTTTAGCTTGAATAATTAGCATTGCTAAAATATTAGAAAACAAAATAAGACTTTTAAGCACTAGTTAAAATATGCTAAAATTGACTTAGAGACAACTTTGTCATTTCATTTTAACCGATTATTGACATTCTTTGTCTTTTTCAGGCAGTTTTTCAAGGGGATTTTCAAAGAGCATCTATGTGTGTACTGCAATGTAAAGATATGTTGGTGAAGCTCCCTGAAATGGTGAGTGAAATCTGCATTCTCCAAGAGTTTAAAAATATGCTATTTCAAGTTCCAGGAAAAATCATTACTACTTCATGTAACCTTTCAGAGATTCTATTTGAGATCTGTTCCACTTAAGTAACTGATCATTGAAATAGTTTGCTTCCTTTGTTCTTTACCAGAAAGGGCATTTGAAAAAGCTATGTGGAATATTTCCCTTTTTTTCTTTTTTCTTTTCTTTTCTTTTTAAAACTCTGTCTTCACTCTGTCGCCCAGGCTGGAGTGCAGTGGTGTGATCTCGGCTCACTGCAACCTCCACCTCCTGGGTTCAAGTGATCCTCATGCCTCTGCCTCCTGAGTAGCTGGAATTACAGGCCTGTGCTACATTTTGTATTTTTAGTAGAGATGGGGTTTCACCACGTTGGCCAGGCTGGTCTTGAATTCCTGGCCTCAAGTGATCCGCCCACTTTCGCCTCCCAAAGTGCTGAGATTACAGGCATGAGCCACCATACCTGGCCGATATGGAATATTTCTTAAAATTTTCTTTGCTTTGTCTATTTTTGTCAAACCATTTTGATAACATTTGTTCCATATTTTATGTTATACAACAAAAGAAAGAAAAAAATGAGTTTGTCTGCTGACAAGGTTGATAGTAGTTAATCATGTTATTGCCGTAGTATTTTTCTACACTGGGTTTGGAGATATGAGGGATTTGATAGGATAAAGCCTGTATCCCAGACTGGAGCTCATGAAAACTCCTAAATACATAGTTTTTTACTTTTTCATTTTATCTTCCCCTTCCATTCTTTCTCTCCTATTTCGGTGCCTATGGCTACTTCAGTCTTTACTATCACAGAGGAATTAATAATGGAGATATAGTTGGATATTAGGGAGAATGTTTCCAGTATTACATACATCGTATTTATTTGTGAGATTGGTCTTTTTCCCCAAATTGGATGTCATAATGTAGAACTTAATTCAGTAAACATTTATATGTTGCCTGTTATGTGTCACATCAGACATTCTTCTAGGCTTTAAAAACTTGTAAAACAATTTCATATTTATAGAAAAGTTATAAGAATAGTACAAAGAACTCCTGTATACACTTTGCCTAGAAACTTAATTCAAGTTTTCCAGTAATGTCCTATATAGCAAATGGTTTCAATCTAGAATTATACATAGAGGAACTCCAGTCTCCTTCAATCTGGAAATCTGGAACACTTCATTCTTGCCTTGTGGTTCATGATCTTGGCCGTTTTGAAGATTATAGATCATTCATTTTGTAGCATGTGATTTAATATGGGTTTAGCCAAAGTTTCCTCATGATTAGAACAGCTTATGAATTTGGGGCCAGAAAATCACAGAAAAGATTCTATGTTCTACTAGCTTCTTATTGGGGGGTATACAGGATTGATTTATACTGATTTATACTGTTATTGGTGGTGCTAGCCTTGATCTCTTGATTAAGATCATATCTTCCAGATTTTTTCATCATAAACCTATGCATTTCCCCTTTTGTTATTCATAAGTATTTTGTGAGTGATACACTGAAACTATGGAAAATCTAATTTCTCATTCTACTTTCACCATCTTTATTCTTTTTTCCTCCATTTTTCTAGGTTTATTGGGGTATAATTGACAAACTTTATGTATACTTATGGTATATAACATGATATTTTGATAATTAAACATTGTGAAAAGATCACCACAATCAAGCCAATTTATATATTCATCAGCTCACAGTTTTTTTTTCTTTTTGTGGAAAACATTTAAGATCTACTTTCTTAGCCATTTTCAAGTATACAATACATTATTATAATATTAACTATAGTCCCTGTGCTGTACAGTAGAGCCCCATAACTTATACATATGGCCTAAATAAAATTTTGTACCCCCTCCCCCTTTGTTTGACGAGACAGAGCATTGCTCTGTCACCAGACTGGAGTGCAGTGGCATGATCCTGGCTCACTGCAGCCTCAACTTCCTGGGCTAAAGTGATCCTCCTACCTCAGCCTCCTGAGTAGCTGGAACTACAGGCACATGCCACCAAGGCTCTCTGGTTGTTTTATTTTTTGTAGAGATGGGGGTCTCACTATGTTGCCCAGGCTGATCTTGAACTCCTGGGCTCAGGCAATCCTCTTGTCTCAGTCTCCCAAAGTACTAGGATTATAGATGGGAGCCACTGTGCCTGGACACTTTGTACCCTTTGACCAATATCTCCTAATCTGTTCCCCAACCCCCTGGCAACCACCTTTCTACTCTCTACATCTATGAACTCAGCTCTTTCAGAATCTACATATAAGTGAAATCATGCAGTATTTGTCTTTCTGAGGCTGGCTTATTTCACTTAGTTTAATGTCTTCCAGGTTCATCGGTGTTATCACAAATGACAGGATTTCCTTCTTTTTTATGGCCCACTAGTATATATAAGCACAACATTTTCTTTACCCATTCATCCCTTGTTGGACTCTTAGGTTGATTCCATAGCTTGGCTATTGTAAATAATGCTGCAGTGAACAAGGTGTTGCAGATATCTTTTAAAGATACTTATTTTATTTCCTTTACATATATATCCAGAAGTGGGATTACTCGATCATATGGTAGTTATATTTTTAATTTTTAAAGGAACCTCTATACTGTTTTCCATAATGGGTATACTAATTTACATTCCCACCAACAGTACAAAGGTTTCCTTTTCTCCTTGCCCTTGCCAACACTTATCATTGTCTTTTTGATAATAGACATTCTAACAGATGTGAAGTGATATATCTCATTGTGATTTTAATTTATATTTTCCTGATGGTTAGTGATGTTAAGCATTTTTTCATATACCTGTTGCTGATTTATATGTCTTCCTTAGAGAACTATCTAATTAGGTCTTTTGCCCATTTTTTTCATTAGGTTATTTGTTTACTTGCTATTGAAGTGTTTGAGGTACTTGTATATTTTGGAGATAAACTCTTTATCAGATGTATGATTTGTGGACATTTTCTCCTGTTCCTTAGGTTGTCTCTTCACTCGGTTGATTATTTCTTTTGCTGTGCAGAAGCATTTTAGTTTGATACAATCCCATTTGTCTATTTTTGCTTTTGTCACCTGTGGGGGTCATATCCAAAAAAAAAATCATTGACCAGGGGTCTATCTCTCTCTTTACCTCCAATAATTGTTTTATATATCTGAGTGCCCCAGTGTTGGGTGCATATGTATGTAAAATTGTTATATCTTCTTGCTGAATTGTCCCCTTTACCTTTATATAGTGACCTTTTTTCTCTCTTCTTAAAGTTTTTGTCTTGAAATCCATTTTGTCTGATGTAAGTATAAGAAGTACTCCTGCTCTTTTGTGGTTTCCACTGCCATGGAGTATCTTTTTCTATCCTTTTACTTTCAATCTATGTGTATTTTCATAGGGGAGGAAGTGTATTTCTTGTAGGCAAGAGATCATTGGGTCATTTTTTTAAAATCCATTCAGCCATTCTGTGTTCTTTGGAGAGTTTAGTCTATTTACATTAAATGCTATTGCTGATATGTAAGGACTTATTCCTGCCACTTTGTTATTTGTTTTCCGATTGCTTTTGGTTTTCCAGTTTTTATTCTATTCTATTTCTTTCTTTTCTGTCTTCCTTTCAGTGAAGGTGATTTTCACTGGTGGTGTGATTTAATTTCTTGCTTTTTATTTTTTGTGTATTGATTGTTTGTTTTTCAGTTTCAGGTTACCATGAGGCTTGCAAATGCTATCTTGTAACCCATTATTTTAAAGCGATGACAGTGTAACACTGATTGTATTAACAAAGAGCCAAACACACACACACACACACACACACACACACACACACACTCCCTAATAAAAACTCTACACTTTAATTTTGTTCCCCTGATTTTTAATTTTTTTTAATGTCTTTTTGTTTTTGTACTATGTTTTGAAAAGTTGTTGTTACTATTTCTGGTTGGTTCATCATTTATTCTTTCTACTTAAGAGAAGTTTGTACTCCACAATTTCAGTGTGATACCATTTTGTCTTTTTCTGTGTGCTTACTTTTTTTTTTTTTGAGATGGAGTATTGCTCTGTCGCCCAGGCTGGAGTGCAGTGGCCTGATCTAGGCTCACTGCAACCTCCGCCTCCTCGGTTTAAGCAATTCTCCTGCCTCAGCCTTCCGAGTAGCTGGGACGACAGGCACATGCCACCATGCCTGGCTAATTTTTGTATTTTTAGTAGAGACGGGGTTTCACCATATTGGTCAGGCTGGTCTTGAACTCCTGATCTCAGGCGATCCACCCACCTCAGCCTCCCAAAGTGCTGGAATTACAGGTGTGAGCCATCGTGCCCGGCTGTGTGCTTACTATTACCAGTGAGTTTTGTACCTTCACATGATTTCTTCTTGCTCATTAACATCCTTTTCTTTCAGATTGAACAACTCCCTTTAGCATTGTTTGTAGGACAGGTCTGGTATCGATGAAATACCTCAGCTTTTGTTTGTCTGGGAAAGTCTTTATTTCTCCCTCATGTTTGAAGGATACTTTCTACTGGTTATACTATCCTAGGGTAAACTTTTTTTTTCCTTCAGCACTTTAAATATGTCATGCCTCTCTTTCCTGGCCTGTAAAATTTCCACTGATAAGTCAGCTGCCAAATGTATTGAAGTTCCATTGTATGTGATTTTTTTTCTTTTCTTTTACTGTTTTTGGGATTCTTTGTTTATCCTTGACCTTTGGGAGTTTGATTATTAAATGCCTTGAGGTGTTTTTTTGGTTAAATCTGCTTGGTGTTCTATAACCGTCTTATACTTGAATGTTGATATATTTCTCTAGGTTTGGGGTATTTTCTGATATTATCTCTCAGAATAAACTCCTTACCCATAGCTCTTTTTCTACCTCCTCTTTAAGGCCAATGGATCTTAGATTTGCCCTTTTGAGGTTATATTCTAGATCATATAGGTATACTTCATGCTTTTTTATTCTTTTTTTTTTTTGTGTCCTCTGACTGTTTATTTTCAAACAGCCTGTCTTGAAGCTCTAGTTTCCTT